ATACAAAATTAGTTAAATAATAGAAATATTAATTATTTATTAAGGGTAGATAGGTCTATGAGGAGTTCAGGAGATTTCCCGAAAGACAGGTCGTTTCCAGGACGGATTACATGGAATACCCTTCTGCATCCATCTAATTAAAGTTGAATACCTACTTCATCATCAAGCAGATCTCAACATATGACTTTATTACGTATTAGCCCTTTGTTAAAAAAGTTTATATGATTCACGTTAATTCTATCGAATAAAATATTAAGTATCACTAATCATGATGTAAAAAAATCCCTGATACTACTTAGAACAATTCCTTGAAATTCATCTGATAGTATAATAAGTGAACTAAGCGACTTTAAAAACACTAATTTTAATTTTTAGTGTACGTGTACTTTCAAGTACTTTTCAGTACTTTGAAGCAGTTCAAGTTTACTTAGACTAGGAAGGTTAGACTGATTACATGAGAGAAAAAACGCAACGATAAATGCGTATATGTCAATAGTGAAGATAAGGGACACCTGTAGTTATAAAAGTTTTCGTTTCTAAATACTTTAAACAAGATAAGAAATTGTCGGTATTAAAATTGGATTAAAACAAATTCATGCAAAGGTCTTTTCGTAAGAATGTCTTTTTAGGTACTTTCTTCACAGAGTACATAGAAGTGACAGTACTTTAGAAAATAGTTGGAATCAAAAAGTTATTGTACAAAAAGATTTTCTTATTTCAGTCCCTTATAAATCAATGAAAATTAAAATATCGATCTTACCTGAAGCTATGTCTTTTCTTATTTGTCCATAAACGTAGAAACTCAACGCATGTTTTGCATACCTTTTGCGTAATCCAAGGCTTATTCTTCATTTCCAGCGGGTGCCCAAAGTAATTTTTGTAAGCCTCATTTACGAACTTTGTCACATTTAAACGGTATTCTTTAAATACATACTCTCCGCAAATGAAACAAAAATTGTTTGAATCATTCACACATACTCTTCTTGACGATGCCATATCAAATTACAAAATAAAACAATAATTTAAACAAGAAAGATAATTTCCCTATTGTCTTACTAAACTTTCCCCTATAAAACAACAGATCATTTCTTAAGAATTCTGAAATTGAATTTTACCGGTAATTAAAGAGAGGTATCAGAAAAAAAGTGGGGGTATAATTAGAATCAGCGACTTAAAATTAGTAAACATCATGTAACATAAATTATTCATCAGTCAAAAAGTGTAATTTTGTTGGCCAATGTTATTGACGTTATCGGATTCCAAAACAACACTCTAAGAATTTCTAAAGCACGCCATTATCTGGAATATCTATTTGCTTTGATGCATCCCATGTACAGATAGGAAAGTACTTGTTTTTTGAACCCTAATACATAAGTTTTCTCACTTTAGCCCCAAAAATACAAGCGACATCTGAAGCCGGGATTCAACGGCGCGTGGAATGGCACTCCTCGGCGCGTGGAGTGGCAATCCTGGGTTGTGAGTTGAGTCTCAAGGGTCGGACCGTTCTCAAGGCGCATGAGGATCGCGCAGACTTAGACACGTGTCTATTGCAGTCTGTTTTACGACAGCAGTGTTGGCGATAAAAATTTCATAATTTGGTTTAATTCCACGAAAAGATGAACCGTGAGCGGACGCGTATCGTTGCTGCCTCAGCCTTTTATTTTATGTTAGGAGTTTACAGGATGACAAGAGAACAAAAAATAATCGGCTCGGCTTCATGGAATGATAAGAATTAGACCACTCCATGGTGAAAGTTACCACGGCACTGATAGTACCACGCTCCTAGCCGCGCCGTTGGAGCTGTAAGCACGTATTGCGCGCCAACGTCCACGCCCCTTTGAACCGTGTTGATTTACCGACAGACGACGGGACTCATCGCGCCGACCGAAGATTGGCAAGCCTGCCCTATCCAACGGAGCGAGAACTGGCAAGTTTGGCGCGTGGAGTGTCACTCCACGCGCCGTTGGATCCCGGCTTGAGAGTGCGTTATAATTAACTTTGTATGAACATTTTGATCAAGTTCATTCAGCAACGGTAATCATACTATTTCCAACGGAATTCTTCCTGGCCTGCTTTTTCAATGGCAGTTTGAACGGTTTGAAGTATGGTGTCAGATACTAAATCATTTAATTTTAGCATACTGATAAAAAAGATTGACCGAATGTTTAAAATTGAATGTTGTTCCATCAATTCTTAATGTTCACCACCAGTACTTATAATGCCAGCTACGGAATTGATGTTTAAATTGAACTCCTGTCGTGGATCTTCAGAAAATATTTCTTTTTCCATATTACACATATTGCATTTAAAAACAAAGCAGATTGCAAGACCTTTTTGTGTTTCTTTCATGAAAACCATTGACAAAAAATTACAATCTATAGGCTTATGATCGTTAGCACTTTGAACATAATATCCTCTATTCTTCTACCTTCAAGAAGGTTTAGAGTTATTGTGGTATCTAGATGGGTTTCGATTTCCATTTCTAAAGGTTTCTCATCAGAAGAGTCATCCACAAGTTTATTATCCTCAAACGAAACAGAAGTTATAAGAGAAGTAGCTAAAGGAGAACAATGATCTACCACGATTGGGTTAGCATCATTATTTTTAAAGAAATTGATGTTATTGGATCTTCTAAGATGTTTACACAAGATTTTTCACATAATATAATCTTTTTTTAGCTCTTTATAGAATATACAGTGTTGATTAAATATAAAATAGTAAGAAAACACAAACAAGTAAAATGGAAATTCCATTTAGAGAGCAGAACTCCTTTATTTTTCAGGCCTTAAGAACTTAATACATAATCCTAACCACACATTAGGGACATCAAGATAGGAAACGCAACGACCGCAGCAACGATGGCGTCATCTATGCGACTCAGATGTTAACTAAAAGTATACGTCGTTTGTAGTCAGACCAGTGTTGCCAAATATTTTTTTGAAAGATCGTACAAATAGAGTAGAAAAATGGTATTTCGACAAAAAATTCGTACACTAGGTACATGTATAGCATAATATAAATGCAGAGAAAAAAATAAAAAAAATTGGCACGATAATTTGTAATTCTTACAAATACGATTAATAAGAACATCTCAATTTAATAATGTCTTCTTTATTCATCGGTTATAAAAATCGTTTCAATGCATTCATAACAGAGTTCAATTTTTTGCTCGACATTTCTAAATTTACGGCTAAAAATATTTAATTGCTTTGTTAGTAAACGTTTCACACATAAATGTGACTTTTCAATTTGCTCATACTAATTTAAAAATAAAATGTAGTAAGTAAGCTAGCAACTAATAAATATGTCTGATATTTTAAATGAATTTTCGTATAAGTTGTAGTATTACTGGTAGTACGATTTATACGGCTATAGTCTATTTTTATGTATGAGAGAGTAATAAAACAGCATTTCTAATGCAAAACTTAGTACGGTCATTTTAAATATTTTTACAGAATAATCTAAATATTTCCTAAAATTGTAATAAATTTACCTAAGCTATTACAAGTTTTGGGTCTTTTATTAGTCCTTTATAAACATAAGCTGTACAGAACATTAGAAAAAGGTTTGGACAGGTCAAAAGCCCTATGTATTAAAGATTACATAGCCGTATCTTAAGATTATTTTCAATAAGTACCTATTTGCCAATTTTGTTTTATTTTAATTCCAAGAATTTCTTACAGTAATCGAATTATAAGTAGATAAATACCTTCCCAACAAATTTCACCGAAAATGCGATCATAGGTTTTCCATTTAGTAAGGAGGTCCAAGTTGTGTATTCTTGACAGTTTACTAAATGTCGTTTAGTTGCAACTTGCAAGGTGCAGTGTGAATTCTAGTGTGATCATGGAAAATTTGGAAGGGCCGCGTAAACGACAAAAAATCGGTCCTTTAACAGTTAATGAAAAAACATTAATATTTAATTGCTTTAAATCGTTTACAGACAAACATTTATGTAAAAGTGTTGATGACACAGTGGAATTAGTTAGTAGTGCGCTTGGTGATTTACAGAGTTGTTAAAGAAGAGAAATGTGGCGAGTTTCAAACAGCACGTAAAGCTCCAGGAAAACCAAAATTTCAATTAGAAAATCTTTTGAAAGAAAGACTTCGAAGGAAAGTGCATGCGTTCTTCTTTAGAAAAGAATTTCCGACAGTAGACAAAGTTCTTGCCACGGTTCGAGATGATAAGGATTACCCTGAAATGAGTCGAAGCACACTATGGAAACTTTTAAAAGAAATAGGTTTTCTATGGAAAAAGCATTCCAGAAAGTCTATTTTAATAGAAAGAAGCGATATTGTAGTATGGAGAAGAAATTACCTAAGGACTATAAAAGAAATGAGAAACCAAAGAAGAAATATATTTTATTTAGATGAAACATGGATCAACGAGGGACATAAACCAAATAAATTTTGGCAAGATGAAACTGTTACAAGTCGAAGACAGGCTTTTTTAAATAATTTATCTACTGGTTTAAATTCACCATCAGGAAAGGGGCGCAGACTAATAATAGTACACATCGGTAGTTAAAACGGTTTTGTTAAAGGTGGTTTATTGACTTTTGAATCTACTCGTACCGGTGACTACCATGAGGACATGAATGCTGATGTCTTTAAAGAGTGGTTCGAACAAATTATAGATCTTCCTCAGAACTGTATAATAGTAATGGATAATGCAAGTTATCACTCGAGACTTATAGAAAAAATGCCCACAACCAAGTGGTTAAAAAAAGATTTACAGAATTGGCTAAATTCAAAGAATATTAAGTTCCATCCCGGTTCTGTGAGAAAAGAACTGTATCATTTGTGTTCCCTTCAAAAAGAGAAATTAAAAAAATATGAAATTGATGAAATTGCAAAAAATCGTGGGATGACGGTGGTTAGATCACCACCATATCATTGCGAAGTAAAAAATAATTCTTTTAAAATGAGTGATGTTAAACAGTTGTTTTTGGAGGCTGTAAATAATGTGAAGCCTGAGAACTGGGAAAAGGCAGTAAATCATACGATTAAAGAAGTAGAGAAAATGTGAAAGTTGGACAATATTACTGATGGAATGATCGAGCCACTCATTGTAAATATTGGTTGCGACAGTTCATCTTCTGATTTCGATTCTGATTTGGATTTGTAGGTAAGAAGTAGTTTTTATATTAAAATTATTATTTATGAACGTAACGTTGTTTAAAAGTCAAAGTTTAATACCTTATACCTACATAACCCGTTTGACACAATGTTCTTAATATACGTTGTGGAAAAATAAAACATTTTAGAAAAAATTGTACTTTTTTACCTTTAGCTGTTTAGAAGTTATAAGCAGGTTAATTAGGTGAAAATATAAGTGTATACTCGAGGAATAACTTCAAAAAATATTTTAATAGTCTACTTAAAGAAGTGATACGCCTATGGATTAGGAACGCTTTATTATTTTAATACTCTCTCATACATAAAAATAGACTATAGTAGGTACCAGCTCAGTTACTCAACTATTTTAATAAAGTGGTTTATTCCTCGTGAATCTATAAATCAAATCCAGCGCCCTCTGTGGCTGATCGGTAGGAACTAAATGGCCAGCATCGATAACCAACACCTCTGTCATTCTACCAGCTTCCTTGACATACCCCGCCAATTCAGAATTCACATACCATTTATGCCTAGCAGCGGTCTTATATCCGTCAGATCCATTAAACTTCATTTTTTTCAAGAAATTAACTGTCAAAGGATAGGGTAGTATGATATCTAACTGCCCGTTGTAAAATAGTACCCTGTAATGATTGAGAAGGACTTCTAACCAAGGTACCACGCTTTGCATGTGATCGTCATTGAAATTTGAATATACCGTCTCGTACTGATCGTTGTAAGGTACTTTTCCGACATGCAATGCTGCTCTTACTTCTGATCTATTGACGTAAACTTGTATGTCTTCTATTTTCTTTATTATGTTGTACGGATCGATAGGGGTAGCGAAATTGAAAATATTGTCGTAGCCTGTGATATTAGCGAATAAGGAAAAAATGGTTGACCTTACTTCCAGCGATTCAGCGAACTGTTTGTTTTGTATTAATTTAATACCTAAAATAAAAAAATACATGTAAAGAAATGATATATCCATGTTACAATAAAATAAATGATATTACGAAGATTGGTAGTACGTTACGGTGACGTATTGCGGTGGGGTACGAGTTTGAGGTATCAGCTGATCGGAAACGGATCGCTCATTGCCATATTCCACACCACAATATGTCATGTGCGAACTCGACGAGATTTCGTCGGTTAAGTATCAAACCTTTGTAATTTTATGTATCATGTAATGTATCAGGTTGCTTATTCAATTCTATTTCCCTCTGTATATATCATTGAAATGGCGTTAAGTCACATTGCACAGTGGGTGACAGTTATATGTGTTTCAAAACCCATTTAAAAAAGAGAAGAAAATGTGACTAAAATTTAACAGAGTTGAGTTAAAATTCCGCTAGATTCGCTAGTGTATTAACGGTAACAGTGTTGCCAGTAGCAAAGATTTTGTTCTATTTTCAAGTATTCTAACCAAACTTATGACTGTCAAAAATTGACGAACATCTCTAAATGATTTGTTAATAGAATTATTGTAAGATTAATAAAAATATCAAAAAGTCTGCATACTCAGTGAGATAAGTCAAATTTTCATAGTCAACTCCGATTTAAGCGAGATAAATTGCTGGGTTGGTATATCTATTGTTATTCGAAATAGTAGTCGCCAAGTCAGACAATTTAAAAATAATCGACATAAAATACGTCATTGTTTTTAGGGCTCTAACATAAATTAAATATTTATATTTCTTCTCTGTTAGTGTTTTATAAATAAATTTTAACTTTTGTTTTCTTTATTTTCTCTTTCCAAATCAACAAATCAGCAGTTAATTAACTGATACAACTCATTCAAAATTTCCATGTCTGACAGTTCTTCCTTCTGCTTGCCAATCTTTTCTTTATTCCCAAAAAATATCCACTACCACCCAATTTTTCCCTGGCGCATTCAACGTGGGGCTAAAAAGTTTGGGATTTTGGAAAATTTAGACTTTATTTGGGTAAGACTTTTTATGATTTCTTCCAGTTACATTTTTGAAAAGTTTCGAATTGAAAAATAGGGTGTTAACTAAATAATAGATACTTGAAAAAAATAGCATAAAGCACAGTAGATCAAGTTAAAATTGTGAAAGTGATAAAATATTGATACTATTCAATGAATTTAAGAGGGAAAAAGAAAGTTGATTTAGTGGAGGAACAATTTGAAGAAGTGGAAGAGATTGGACAAAAGGTTACACTTACTGATGAAAAAGAACAGGAGAAAAAGAAGAAGACAATAACTGGAGAAAAATATAGAGTTCGTCCAATTATTATGCTGTAAGAAATAAAGGAAGATTGAGAATAACAGAAATATAAACATAGACAAGATACATTTTTTTTAAAACATTAAAGAAGAAATGTAAAAAAGTAAAAAAACAGATATTAAAGATGAACTTTGAGATTTAAAATAAAATGAAGAAGAAACATTTGTAAAAATATAATAAATTATAGAAATAGATGTTGAAGAAGGAAAGGAATAATAAATTAGGAGAATATGAAGAAAATTGATAAAAAAGTAAGAAAAAGGAGTAGAAACAAATAGAGAAAAAAATAGAAGAAATAAAGATAAAAATAGAAAATCAAGATAAAGAAGTTAGTGAGGAAAGATAGATTAAAAATGCAGAAAAAGAAATAACAATTAACACGCAAAATAAAAGTAAAACAAAAATTGAGGAATTAAAGAAGAGATTGATAAAAAAAAATAAAGCAAATTATAAAACAAATCAAAAAGGAAAAGAAAAGGCAAGATAAGGAAGATTAAAGAAAAATAAATGGAAAAAAATTAAAAAAGAAAGTAAGAAAAAAGATAAAGAAACAAAACGAAAAAAAGAAATATCAAAGTACAAAAAATAAAGTTGGTGCTAAACAAAACATTCAAAATATAAGGTAGATAAACGAAAATATAATATAAGGAAGAATGGGAGGTAAATAATTAAGAATCGGGGATTGACAGAAAAAGAAAATAGTGAGGACAAAGTAGAAAGAAAAGTAGTAAAATTTAAATAGGGGAAACGAAAACTTTAGTAACGTAAACTTTTCAATGTTTCTATATCGCCACTATGGAAAAATTTTAAGAAACATTGATTTAAATACAAGAAAAATTATCCATATATTGCTTTTAAACATGTAGGTACATTTTTTACACGAATATGTCATAATCAAAATCGAAGGCTTGTATTAGTTTGTTTTTTTGGATAAAACATGGATATTATAGATATACTAACCCTAATAAATAGCAAAAATCTAACATGGAGATCTTTCTTACCTTGTTGTTCTAGACGCTCAAGCTGCTTCCTTTCATTAGCATCAATCAAACCAACTTGATAAAAATATTCCCCGTATTCGTACTGATTTATCGGATCACACAAACCATTTCCAATTGTTAAACCTTTTAGGTTAATCTTGACTTGGGCACTTGGATTGTTTTGGTGGATGGTATAAGCGACAGCTGGTGCATATTTACCACCTACAATTTGACATTGATAAAATTATATCTACATGCTTAATTGGACTACGCTTATCTAGAAGGAACCAAGCCAAAATGAGTTAAAGGCACCATGTGACAGAGGAAGGTGTAATTTATTTTGTATAAAAAGATCCAGTTATTATCTTTACTCTAGTGCCATCTTCAGGCTAATGAACCAAACGACACATTAGGAAACATACATTCTTAAATTCAATAAAGGGAACCCTGACTCCAAAAATATCTTCAAACTCATGTTTCTTAATAAACTTATAAAATTGTGCCTATGATAACAAAGCTGGAGTTCTCTACACAGATTATTTTTACCTCCTCTACCTCAAAACTCCAGTTTTTTTAGCGCTTAGTTCTTTTTAAATAAGCATAGTCCAATTTTGAACACAAAAACTTACCGAAAGATTCTCCTGCAATGTAGAATTCGTTCCTCTGCAGTTCGGGAAACAATTTGAAGAATTGGATGAGAGCAGCGTATAGATCTTTACCAACTTTTGTTTGATTTTGAGCGTACCCACCATTGGTATAACTGAAACCAGTTCCTATGGAATTATCTATGTAGATTACTGAATGATCGGTTGTCCAAGAAGGTTCGCGTAATCTTAAACCTGAAATATAAATTGTGGTATTACCAAAATTTTTTTGGAATTCGCCAGGGGACAAAAAAAAATAAATACGGCAATGGAACGTCAGCTGACAATAGTTAGAGGTTAAGCGGTAGGATCATTCTTAGAATAGGTAACAAAGAGAGGACGCGTAACAAGTATATCGAGCACACGTAGTATTCTGTGCCGATTATCTATTGGCCGCCATTATTTTGGTGTTACGCCTTTGGTCAAAAATATCGTTGGTGTCAGAATGGAACAAGATTTTCAGCGACGTGAGTCCTCTCTTTATTACCTAGTCTACGGATCATTGATACAATCTCAGAGAAACAAATTAAATATAGATAACTAACGGGTACCGTTTAACATAGACCAGTATCTATGAATTTTTGTTTATCTGAGGAGTACGGCAACGGAACGTCAGTTGTCAATAGGTTAAACGATAGGATCATTGATACAATAAGCAGGATGTTAGGACCAGTTGCTCATTTTCAAGTTGTTAATTTAAAGCAGTTAATAGATATAATATTTGTTTAAAAGCAGCTGGCTCAGCTTTTATTAAAATTATAACGATAAAAGTGTCTTTATTGTTCTTTGATAAGTTTAACTAATAATTGAAATGATTTAGATACAAGTTCATGTGGGTTTGTGAACTTGTATAGAAGCTGTAATGTCTTTGTACCTCAACAATGTATGAAAAACATTATTTCTTATTTTTTTTTTTACATCCGATGAGTCTCCCAACCGACTTTTCGTCTTAAGTTTTTTTCTAATCGCTTGATGTTTAATTTTTGTCACAAAATGTATATTAACGTGCTAAACTTAAGTCTCATCTACTGTAAGTTACGTCCCCTTCTTCGCCATTAAAAAAATATTGCTGTACTTTCTACTAAATGTTTATTTTGATTTCAAGATACGATAATAGTACAAGATCCTGACAAATCAGCTATCCCTCATCCTATGCCCTGATTGAACATACAAGGTGTCAATTTGAAAATAAACAGCATTGGTAGAGGCAATATTATATGCTGTTTTTTTTTTTTTTGGTGTGTCATCGGCTTCAACTGCTAAGGTTATTTCGCCTCGTGTTCTGTGTAGGATTTGTTACTGTTTCCCAGCGCCACTTTAGAAACATCACTGTTAATTAGAACCCAACAGTGAATGGTCGAGTGGGGAATCCTACCAAGGCATCAGAATTCATTTTAAATAATTAAATTAAATGAAAAAATTCTGGCCAACGGTGGGATTCGAACCTGGGACCCTTGGATCCACAGGCAGAGACTCTACCACTGAGCCACCCACCCACCCCCTCATCTTAAAATTAACACTCTGTATATTAACCACGAAGGTTTAGGGGATCAAAGTGAAATTCTCCCCAGTTGATCAGAAAATATAATTAAATAATGCCAATAAAGTCTATGTACGCTACTGTTTCATATAATATAATGTATTTAATAAATTTGAAGCCTCATAATAAAATTGATTTAATTATATTGTTAGCGATAGTTACACTTTTTATTGTATCAATTTATTTTACTAAATTAAAGTTAATATGACAATACTCTTAGAAAACAAATATATAGTATACTAACCTGTTTTATGTAGACTAAATGGCCCATTTTGTCCGAACAGACCTAGAAGAGATGACGCTGAAGGACCCCCTTCGCACCACAATATCACAGGAGCCGTACCTGGATTATTTTTAGCGGGAAAAAACCAAAAAAACGAATTCGAATTGAAAGGTTTATCGACGGTAAAAAACCCGGAATAACTTTTGATATTTCTGAAACCGTTCAAATGAACTTCAGATGCATCTCTGGCTTGCTGAATTCTATTCTGTTCGATCAAAGGTGTTAGAATTAGATGTTCATCTGTATTTGGTCGTACGGGTGTATGTCTCGATGAATATGTTGAATAAACTTGGTTTAGCAATGTCGCAATAACTAATATTGTAAACGGCAACCTCATTGTTTCACTTTTAACGAATTATCACTGAATGAACAGCTGTTTTGTTGTTGTTTTCTTGTATACCAAGTACGTTCTAACTTGAACTTATAGACCGTGTTTATTATTTCTTAGTAATGTAAGTAATCTATATATTATTTGGAAAAACCCGTAATAAATTATTTGACTGATAAACCCAACCGCAGTATACAGAGTGTACTCAAATTGTTCGGAATACATGTCTTCAAAGATAACATAAACTACTATTTAAATATCTCTGTTTAAAAGGAATATGTTATCTAAATGTTTTAGGTTATCATATGTATAATTATTAATGATACACCCTGTATATATAGTTGTGGAAATCCACCAGTGACCCAATTCCAAGAAATTTGGATTAAATTGCATATGTATATGATAACAAAAGAATGACTTATTTCTGGTAATATGACAGTACTTAACATGTGTTTTTAAATTTTAGGTGCATCGAATTTTATTTTTTTTTTATATGATTTAAAAATTGTTAAAAATACTTTGAAATTATAAATCAAACTTCTTTATTGTAAAAAGTCAAGCAAAAGAATAATTGTTTTATAAAACTATAAAGTGCACATTAACATTAATAAAATAACAGCGGCGTGTGGTGACATTTTTGGAAGGGGAAGCAATTGTATAAAAATATAGCAGGCCAGTAGGTACGATTAAACCTCGATGGCTCCAGGCCGCACAGGTTAGGTAACTTCGTTTAGTTTTTTTTTATTACTTAATTTATGTATATTTTTTTGCAATGCAACCCACTGTTGATTAGAATCCAACAGTGAATTGTTGTCTTCATAGTTATATGACACTAATTTAAGTTATTCTTTTTCTTTTTATGAAAAAGGTTATTAAGTACAGATTTTTAGAAAATTAAGTGAATTTTTTTATAAATAAACAAAATGTATAGGTTGGTTGAGGAGCTGAATTTAGGAGGATGCATAATGGACCCTAGTGAGGTCTAAGTTCTGTGAAGCAACGCACCCTCCACACGTTACAGATACAGAGGATATGACTAGAAAAAACAGATATACCTACGGCTCTGAATTAAATCCAAACTGACAATTAAAAGGAAAAAGAATTGCACACTCCGACGTACGTCAATGTTTTCCTTCTTATCTAAAAAAAGTCATGAAAATTACATATATTGTCCACGTTGTATAAATTGTGGAAATAAGTTAGATATAGATAGTAAACTTTCAGGAATTGGCAATATACAATTTTATAATAAATTCTAGAAAGTGCGCGATAGGTACCACTTTCAAGAATTGCGAAACATTAATTATTTAACGTATTGTTAAAATATTTTTTCGAATTGGTGATATTCATTTTTAAACCAATTAAATCTTTTTTATATTCTTCAGAAGTCTAATTCCAATTCTACAATGAACTCAAAGATTAGATAAACCCTCAGATTTCTACAGAGAATTGGTAAGATTTTCTGGAAGAAAAACGTAGAATAGTATGACCATGGGCTTTACATATCTTGTCGATTACATATTCTTTTTAAAAGTTTTCTTTTTTAAAGCTTCCACTAACACTTTTTTGGTAGCCTTTGTAGGAATTTCCATATTTTTACTTTCCATGAATTTAAGAATGTCTTCCTTCTTTGTGCTGCTATTAGGAATTTTGTTATGTAAACGGGAATGATAAGGCGCGTTGTCCATAACAATAACAAAATTTGGGAAAGATTTGGCAGCAGTTATTCATTAAACCACTTTTCAAAGAGACTGGCGGTTTTAATCAATGTTAAAGAATCATTAATCAACATAGATAGGTTGAAGCCAGATATTTATTGACAGAACAAGACATTGTTCATAATGTTGTTCAGAAACCAATTAAAAAGATTTCTTTTGTATTAAACGCAATAACTTGTGATATTACGACATTTAGACAGTTCGCAAAATTTTATATTTGCTTCTCCTGAAAAAAAATCTACCGCCGCCCATGACAATAAGAATCTTGTTGTTAGGCAACACACTTCATTATTGCAACAACACTTTGACATAACAGTCAGTAAACCAGTTGCAAATTCAAAAATGGCACACGTTTGCAAACTACCTCACAAAGATTCCATTTCATCCCTGTTTACTGGCGTCAAATCCAAACTGAGACAGAGATTATTGAAGTACGTTTTGATATCAGAAACCAATCCACTATCCACCAAATATTTCAGAAGCCATTTGGCCATAAATAGGGAAAAAAAGAGGCAAGTGAAATCTGGATACCTATCCGTGATTCATCCTTTTAGTAAGCTTAGAGAAAATTACGATAAATGGTTGCTATTTTTTTATATATGGATTCTAATTTTCAAACCTTTAGAGGCTTGTATATTATGGGAATCTTCTTCGAAGTTTGTGAAAGAATTGTCTATAATTACAATGTTTCTAACTTGGATTGATATAGTTATGAATTGTTTTACTGGTTATTACATTAAAAGTAATAAATCTGTTGAACTTGGAGTTAAAAAAATTTGTAAAAAATACATTTTTGGACCGTTTTTTCTAATCGATAGCCTAGGATCAATCTCGATATTTACATTTCCTGTTAAACCACCGCTGATTGTTTGTGGAATACATAAAATATTTTGCTTATTAAGAGGCATCAGAATAATTTCGGTTTTACAACTTTGGGTAAAACTGTTTTCCTTCAAGAAATACAAAACTATGACTTTCATATTCACCATCTGTTGCTTGAATATATTCGGTTTTGTACTGCATTTTTTTATTTGTTTACTGTTATCTGTTACTTGGATTGTAAGAGTAGACTTTGGATTTGGCGTTGAAGCTGATTCTCCATTGAAAAATGAAATATCTTATAGTGTCTACAACGAATATCTGTTTAAAACTTCTGCATTTCTACTTGGAATAAGTTTACCACCGCAGTATTTTAACGATATCAAGTTTACAGAAGAATATTTAACAGCAGTAATCATATACGTTATAGGAAAACTTATGGTGATATCAACTTGGATCACCCTTGTTTTAATTATTCTTGAAAGTAGATCTAGAAATATTAAGTTTCAAAAAGTAATGAATCAACTGGAGAATTATATGAAACAAAGACATTTACCATTAGGACTAAGAAAAAGACTTACACAACATTACGAGTTCAAGTATCAAAGCAACTACTTCAAAGTTAATTTTTTGAATTTCTTTCTAACAGGAGGATTAAAAAAGGACATCGATTACGAACTATGTAAATCTTTAATCAACAGTGTATCCATTTTGAAAGAATTATCTTTAAACGAAGTTAGGGATATAGTTCAAGTACTGATACCAGAGATATTTCTACCAGGTGATGTTATAATCCAAGCAGGTACTTATGGAGATTCTTTGTACTTTCTATCCAGTGGTACAGTAGCTGTTTACACGCATTCCGGAAGAGAAATACGTCATCTACAAGACGGTGCTTACTTTGGAGAGTTGGCAATAGTTCTAAAATCGAAATCTAAAAGAACAGCAACTGTAGTGGCAGTAGAAATCAGTCAAATCTATAGAATGAAGAAATCGGATTTTAATAGAACTTTATTGAAGCACCAAGAGGTTTACAAGAAGATTGCTGCTAATGCACAAACGAGGTTAACGGAAATTTCGCTTCATGAAGAGCTTCATAAGAAGTATTTGTTTGAATTGAATTTGTTGGATTAGTTGATGAATGAGATTTTTATATATATTTTAGAATTATGTTTGTTACTTTCAATTTATTGTTTATAATCTTGTTTTTGTAATTATGAATATCATTCCTTACTTGTTTAAACAATAAACCACTAGAGAAAAATATGTTTACTCACCTACTTTTTTTACTTATCTCTGTTGACCATTGATTGCTTCTTGATTCTATATGCTTTTCTAATTATATTAATTAAAAAAATGATTTCCTCAGTTAAAACGAACGGCTGCACTTGGGTACTTGGGGTATGCAGTTAAGGCTATACCTGAAGCGTTCATTGGCATGTTCCGGGCCAATTATTCACTTCACAAATCGAGATGATTAAAGTATATGTACGTCTACATAACTCATAGCGGTGTTACCACGTGGATACACATAATGGAGCAAAAAAACCTCTTCGAGCATTAAACGGTTAGTTGAACGTTATTATCTTAATGAGTTTATTGAAATATCAATCAATGCGGTGATGGTATGAACAGCCGTACTGAAAGTGATGTTTATATGGTCTAGAAATTTTCTTCTTTAAAAAGAAAGACAAAAAAATGTTAATATTGTAGTCCCTATTTCCCCAATTTAAAAAAAAAGTTACTTTTTGCCAGGTTACATATTTTTTTGCATATCTTTCGCTCTTGCAATATCCTAAAAGTTTAAGCTATAAAGCTATATCTCCAATCTTGTTTGAAAATGGTAAATATCCGGTTACTTGACCGGAAGTAGTATACAAACGAACTAGATGTAATGGACATGTTTCAGATATTATTGATGAAAATGGATGAAATGAGAAAAAATAGGGATGAATATAAACGGGAAATAAGAAAAAATATGGAAGAAGTTATTAAAAAGTTAGATAAAAATGCAAACAAGTTAGATGAAAGCGCAGAGAAGATGGATTAGAAAAGTACATTGACAATGAAGATAGAGAAAAGGAAAATAAAAGTGTAGAAATAAATAAAAAGTTAAAAAATACAAGCATAAGATAAAGAATTAATTGAAAAAAAAAAGGAATTAATGAAGAAGAACAACAGATTTACAAGAAAAAGAAGTAAATATGAATAAAATTAGTAAGAGAAAAGAAATAAAAAGATAAAAATGAAAGACATTTTAGAAAAAAGAAGTAAATATAAAAGAAAAATACTCTCTATATTAGGAACCAGTTAAAAACAATAACAGAACTTATGACTGGAAGAAGAAGTTCTGTGAAGAGGTCTCAGAGACCACCGCCAGCGCCAGAATCCATAGAGTTATAGCTAAAGACAGTACATCTTGTTAAGTGGGATTCCTCAAAAAAGATGATGATACCTACACCACGACACTAGAGGAAAGTCTAGAGATACTAACTCAGGTGCACTTTCCGGCCTCAACCATCCTAACAGGACTAGACTCAGGAGACCAGGAGAGCTACAGTCACAAGGGGATCAGACCAACTCCAATAGACTGGAAGCTGGCCTCCGAGAAATCAAGACCACACAGGATTAGTTGGGCTATCAACAAATAATTTAAGGCATACAAATCCCCGGGACCGGATGGAGTATATCCAATTCTGCTCCAGAAGGGTAAAGATGTATTAATGCCACATTTATGCAAAATCTTCAGAGCATGTTTTGCCTGGAGATATATCCCAGCAAAATGGCAAAAGGCGAAACTAGTCTACCTTGCCAAAGTAGGTAGGGTCACAGACCAAACGCCAAAGTCATATCGACCCATAAGCCTATCCTCCTTCCATACCAGCCTGGAAAGTCAACTGACCTAGCGCTAGACGATTTAAACAGGCTGCTTTCAAAGTCAATAGATGACAAAGAAATCGCAATAGCCACTTTCTTAGATATCGAAGGAGCTTTCAATAATGCCTCAACCAGGTCAATAACCAGGGTCTAGAAGAGAGAAACGTCCCAGTTACAATATGCCAATGGATCACTGCCTGTCTAGAGAACAGGATAATTTTATCCACTCTAGGAAAGGCAACTATACAGGAAAAAGTTACACGGGGCTGCCCACAAGGAGGAATATTATTTCCAATGCTGTGGTCAGTTCTTGTGAACGACTTACTCAAAACATTGTCCAAAGAAGGCTACCAGTACCTAGGATACGCAGACAACTTAGCAATTATTGTCAGGGGGCGTTTTTTAGGCACAGTCTCGGAGCGATCTCAACCAGCTCTAAACATAGTGAACAACTGGTGCAAAAAGGAACAATTGTCCATTAGCGCACAAAAAACAACAGTTGTACCATTCACCAAAAACCGGGTACTTACAGGACTAAGACCACTAGTACTAAACAACATAGTTATCCCATTCGTCATATAAACCAAAAAACTCGGAGTCATATTTGATCAAAGGCTGACGTAGAATCAACATCTCAAAAAACTCACATACAAAGCTGTAGAAGAATATGTGAGAAAAACTGGGGTCTAAACCCCAAAATGACCATATGGTTATACACAAAGGTAATAAGACCTATGATAACATATGGCGCAGTGGCGTGGATAACCAAAACTGCGCAGGCAAGTACAATAGGCTAACTCACTAGCTTTCAGCGGCTTTCCGACTGCAGCAATGGAGGTATTATTAAATCTCACGCCACTGCACATCTTCATACAAGGAGAAACCAGGTCAGCTATTTACAGGCTAATGCAGGGACAAAACCCAATAAGCCAACTACATAGCGCCGACCACACAAGGCTATATCAGCAAATAAAAAGGGATAATATTCTAGCTATGCCTACTGATAGAGCCATAACCACATACAAATTTGAAAGAAATTTTCAAATCCAAATACCAGCCCGAGAATCCTGGAAACAGGAACCTCCCATACAGGCTGAACTCGTCTGGTACACAGACGGTTCAAAAACCAAGGGAGGAGCCGGTGCTGGAATCTATAAACCCAAGTCAAAAACAACGATTTTGCTGAGTTTAGAAAATATGCAACAGTGTTCTAGGCTGAGCTAATAGCCATACAGCACTGTGCAAGAGAAATATGAAATCAGCAAGCATCAGGCAAAACTATTGCCATATACTCTGATAGCCATGCAGCTCTAAAAGCAATTCTCTCACCAGAAATCAAACCACGACTTGTGAAAGACTGTCTAGAAAACCTGGCAGAGCTAAGTAGTCAAAATAAGGTGACCCTAGCCTGGGTTACAGGCCATGAGGGAATCAGGGCAACGAAAAGGCCGACAAATTAGCCCGAGAAGGCTCAGATAAGGCCATGACAAGCCCCGAACCCTTCTGTGGAGTTGCTAAGGCATTCTGCAAGGCATCCTTTAAACAATGGATGCAAAAAGAGTCTCAGAAATGGTGGAACAACTATCCAAGACTGAGACAGGCCAAACAGTTCATCAAGGAACCATCGAAGTTTAGGAAAGACCTATTGGATCAAAAGCGTCAAACCGTTAGGACAACAGTAGGCCTTCTTACTGGACACTGTCGCCTCAAAAGGCACATGAGTGTCATCAATCCATCAGAAGAAGCAACTTTGTGTAGGTTCTGTGAAGAAGAAGAGGAAACATCATTCCATGTCCTGTGCCAATGTGAAGGCCTGGCTGGAATGAGGTTTCTAACATTGGGCGAAGAAAAGCCAAACGCATGTAACTACATGCGGGATCCACTGTGAAAGCTACTAAGTCTAATAAAAAAGACCAGGCTAGACGACATACTCTAAAACAAACGGAGTTCCACAATAGATCTGAAAAGGTCGCGGTGGACAAGGTCAAATAACGTCCAACTCCTAATCTAATCTAATCTGTGACTGGGCATGCTCCAGTAAAGGAACACTTGAACAAAATATATAATAGATACAGACTTATTGTACCCACTCTGTCACAGGGGACCAGAAACAATCAAACACATACTGCGCAATTGCGAGGCAAGATGACGTTTTGCACCTCTAGCTGCAAATCCAACATCGATAGTCAAAATTAGGCAATAATTGTGTTGTCTCCTACAGATTAATTTTCTATGTTAGGAAGAAACACTGACTTCGGCCAAAGGTCTAAAAGTATGAACAGAACGCTTTCTGACCTCCAGCATATTGCCAATGTCAGAAATATCGCTTTTCGCTTGTTGAATGTAGACTAGAATGCGTTTTGGACTTTCTACAATTGCCAGAACTCGCTCTGGACCTTTCAAGATTTCCAGAACGAGTTTAACACATAAACAAACATTTCTATTATTGATTTTATAGCGTTTTTCTGGCATATATTTTTAATATTTTTCTGTCAATACCTAATTATTCTTAAATTCACCCTTCCCAATTTTCCTGTATTTTCAAGCCCGATCCACACATTCCGATTTGGTCCGGTTTTATTGTTTTCCTGTTCGAAATCACGAACGGTAAGAATATCATAAACCGCCGAGGATCCATCCCTAAAAATAGTTTCGTGTGAAGTGATGTGTACGCGTTAACTATACGTTTGAAAGAAATAATACCAAGTTATGAACATGTTGCTCCAATTGACTGGCCAAGCTCTGCAAGATTCCACTGTAGATAATAATTTGTTGTGAATGAATGTATTTATTATAATAATCGTCTGGCTAGCGATGAATGGAATGGAATGAATAGACAGACGCGGATACGGTTTAGTGAGACGCAGTTCCGTTTTGTCTCACAGATTTTACGCCACTCCCGTTTCGACCACTACATACGTTCTTCTTTTTCTCCTTCTTCATTCGCTCATCATTTTAATTAATTTCATTATTTTATTGCTCTTGTATAGTGTAATAATAATCATCATCATTATAATCATTAAACGATGATTTTATGATTTTAAAACGGAACGATCGTTATTAATTAATCACTGTGTTGTCTTTTTAATAATTTAACTTATTAAATGAAGTTATATTTTCAAATATTGTGTTTTCGGATTTCGATTTGCGATTTCTCGATATCAAATTACAATTTTTCTTAATTATTGATAAATATGTTTACGTTTTTATATCATATTTAGACTTGTGCCGCTATTGACCAAAATAATTTATTATAGTAATTATTTTTCTTTTAGTTATAATACTACAAGATTTTCTTCTTCATGTTCTTCTAAAGTAATTAATTTAATGCAGAAGGTTTTTTATCAACAGTCCAAGCCCTTAAGGGTTGGTTG